TCCTCCCCCCCCCCCCCACTTTCCCCCCCCCTCCTCCCACTTTCTTCCCCCCTCCTCCCACTTTCTTCCCCCTTCCGTCTCTTCTGACTCCCCCCTCACCAACAGACTCCATTCAGCCTCCCCCTTCTTCTCACCCTCTACCTCCCCCCCGGCCATCTGTGACCTCAGACAATGGGCCTGACACACATGAAGACTGTGGAGTATGTGGGACAGACACACACACACAGACACACACATACATGACATCATCATCATCAACGATGACGTCATCACCAGCATCATCATCATCATGTGCAGCCCCACCATTGGCCACAGAACAGAGGATGAAACAGCAGCGTCAGGGTGGGAGAACACACACACACACACACACATCAACACACACACACCCCCACACACACATCAACACACACACAAAGACCCTTAGTTCCACTGTCAACAGGCTGCAGGAAGTGGTCAACAGAGGAGTTTAGGAGATGATGATGGTGAAGATGATGAAGATGATGAAGATGATGAAGAAGCCTCCTGACTCCGATGATGGTGAAGATGATGAAGATGAAGAAGCCTCCTGACTCCAGTCTCACCTTCTGGTACTCAGAGTTCTCCGGTCTGAAGTCACTGCTGACCAGCTGGAACTCAATGTTGAAATGAGGCAAACGGTGGAGCAGGTTCACCCACCAGGGGGGAGAGTAGTTCACCACGGCGGCCATCTTGACGGACCGGACCAGCACTGGACCCTGACTGTCAGCTGGTTCTTATCACCTGGTACCAGACACTATCACAGCTGGAACAGAATCACAGAAACACAAAGAGATTTTCAGCAGTGAAGAAACAAGGTGGGACAGTGACACCCCCCGCCCCCCCCACACACACACACACTCAGATGCAGTGAGATTTGCTCTGTTCACATCTATATATATATATATAACAGTATATACATGTTTGTATATACTGTCTCTTCTGCTCTTTTTTTGCACCAAGTGAGTAGCGCTCAAATCTCGTTGTACACTGTACAAGGACAATAAAGGCTGTTCTATTCTGTTCTATTCTATTCTATTCTGTTCTATTCTATTCTATTCTATTCTATTCATCTGTCACTTGTGGTTCAGGTGAGGATCAGCTGCAGTTACACTGACGTCCTGTAGGGTCCACCAGTGTTCACACCGGGGCTCGGCTTTCTAGGAAGTCACTGCAGAGTCCTGGGGAGTCCAACCACCAACCTACATCTGCGTGTGTGTGTGTGTGTGTGTGTGTGTTAAACACTGCAATATGACGTATCACATGCTGGTTATTGATCAGTTTCTCTGGTGTCAAACGAGTAAAAACGACGATATTA